CTTTTTTTTTTTTTTTAGTGGCGGAAACGGGCTTCCATACTAAAGTGATGATTAATCCATTTAAAAGAAAACTATATGGAGGCTACAGTACAGGTAGTTGTTCTAAAAAGTAAAAAAAAGTAGCAATTTAAATACAGCATAAATTTCTGTCACCGAGTTATTTCAAAAGGGGTGGAGGGGGGGACTGGAGAATATTCATGCTTACCATACTGGCGTGGGTCAAGGCATAGGGTGGCTCCCTCCAGGACAGTAGTATTTTGGCAAATATTCCAGATGTTGAAATATATGAAAACTGGAATGGAGGTAAATGCAGTCACTCCAAGCCAAGCCAGCATGAAGATGTATGTCAGCATGATGAACTGAAAGGGGAAACAGTACAGATGGATTACTGAAGTGGAACCGTATTTATTTGTAATATTAACACCTTCCAAGGCACTGTGGCTGGTGTAAAACTGATCATTTAGACGTTGACTCGTCTATGTTTAGATGTTGACGGCAAGGTCTTCTGAGATTAGTTTTTGTTGTAGTTAATGTTTTTATATCCTCCAAGTTATTTTATAGGATTGCTGCATGCTCTTTTGTATGTTCTGGATGTGTGCTGATAATTTATTTTGTTCTTGTTTCAGCAGTATTACCATATTGAACACTGATCAGAAATAAACCTTATAATGTCCTTTGCTGGTTGAGTACTGTAAGTACTACATATGATATTAGCTTGTCAAGAAAAGTTAGTTAAAAGAACAAATCATTATCATTTTCGATTCTTCCTGTTAAATAAAAACAGCTTCAAGAGAAGCTAAAGAAAAGGTGATAAGATCAACTTTCCTCTGTGTAGACAGATTTCTTTAGCAGAGGAACTTGGGAAATCTAAGATTTTGATATATTGATTATGAGAAAGTACTATATATCAAACAGAAGAGATGAGCAGACATGTGAATGACCCCAGATTACATTAGGTTTGTATATCTCCCTTCAATGTCTTCTTTCCTTGGGGAAAAATGCAGTGCTATTTATACTTTCTTTTATAGGGGAAAATAAAGATAGTTGAGTTATAGTACTCGTAAAGGCTCTATTGTGGCTGACCCTTTTCAGCCTTTTCAAAATAGTGAAACCTCACCAAATACAGGGGTCAACTCTAAAAAAGAATCTATTACATATAGAGCTTGGGAGAGCACGAGTAGTGTCACATTGGCCACAAAAAAAAAATGTCAGCTATTGAAATCTACTCAGCCTTCAAGGGAAAGTTCCTGGGAAATGACCTGACATTTACTAGGTGATTCCCGACAAGAGCAAAAGCTTATATAGAGTAATAGACATACATTTTATAGTTAGTATGAAGTAAAATAGTAGCCCTACCCAGGCACTGACACAACGTCCACATGTTGTGATCTTGAAGTCCCCGTACAGATCTTTAATGGCACCACTTGTGAAGAATCCCTCCACCATTAGCAGGATGCCATAGACGAAGAAAGCCGATGCAATGCCGTAAATCACATACTTAATAATGTCAATCCTGGAGAAGGAATACAGAACAACAGAAATGCAGTTTATAAAAATAAGAAGTTACCCTTTCTTTTTAAGATGTTAGCAAGCATATTCATACAAAAATACTCACACAGGAAAATTATATAGATAATTGCAGGTCATTACATTTGCCTGTTAAACAGAAGTAATCAACATATCTGTCTTAAATTGGCTACGCTTGTTGTGATTGTGCGGTGGATCTCTGGGATGTGTCAAAGCACATATAATTGTGCATTTTATACTGTGGAAGTATGCAAACTATGCTTTCTTGCTGATCAGCAGGGCTGTTTAGAATCGTTGTTACTTACATTGTAAAGACATCCAGTGAATCCACAGGGCTCCTCACAACCTCAAAGTAGTCCTGGAGGATGGTGACAGTGCCAGTCAGGGCTTCATGTCCACAGCCACAGAAGAGGGCCACACCAGCATACAGCAAGATGGTGGCTATGAGGGATGGGTATGGAATCCCACCCAGGCATTTGATGCAGCATTCAAGGCATCCTAAAGCGGAGAACCAGATTAGCCAACAAAGACTGTTAAAATTCTGAGAGAAAAAACACCAGACGTGGCACAAAGTAACAGAGACATTTTTGCTGCATTTGCTGCATTTTAAATTATTTATCAATACATTAGCATTGAGCAAATGCATCTGCATGCACTGTATTTCCATTTCCATTTAATATTTTCCAGCAATTAAACCAGCTGGGAGGCAGCTATGCATGTAACACTGCAAGCTAGTTTGACTGCAGTACTCCTTTCCCTTATGTTAAAAAAACAACAACAAAACCCTTTCAAACAACTGTGTTATTCGTTCTGTCAGCTCTATAGCCCTACGGATGATGCTGACATTTTATTCAGCAATACAAACTCAGCCTTAGTTTCACATAGTAACTATGACCTTTAACCCCATTCTACTTTCCTCAGCTTCCTGTGCCAGGGGGTTCTTAAGGTGACAAATCACTGCTCAGGTTCATCTTCAATCTCCTGTGACACAGACTGCTCACAAAGAAGCCACGTCTGTAAATATTGTACCCAGGTTTGCCTTTATGAATTGCTTTGATTTATGAGTCTCCATCTCGTGTGTGTGTTTTGTGCTACTGAGTCAGTCATTTCCCAGTAACTACAACAGAGGTACAGAGGTATTTCCTGTGTAAGTGCGAAACAAATCCAGTATTGCAGTGTTTTGCTGTATATCATCCAGACAGATACATTTTTCACAAAGCCAGACTAGTCTGAAACAGCTAGACCTGTATTAAAATCAGAGAGCTGCTTCATAAGTATCCTAAATGATTAAAGTTGAAGTCAGTATACAAATGTGGTATATGTGCTTTTATGACCAGCACGGCGTTACTCTTGATCAGATGTAAGATGATCATGGCCCATGATTAAATTCATCTGCATTGGTTTTGCTGTGCTCATTCAGAAGAGATGCAGTGACTCTGTTGTCAGTTGCAAAGATGATAAGATTTCAGGATGTTTTCAGCTCCATTCTTTTAAAGGTTGTCTAGTCATCTTCACTTTTGTTTCAAAGCAGCAGTCAGCCCAATATTCCTCCTCCTCAACTCTCTTCGTGTGACTCTGATCCAGACATGAGTGGAATACCAAGTAGCTGGTCCGCCCGCTGGGCTGTGCTGAGCACTCAAACGCTTGGTGCAGTTACAACCTTCACCCAGGGTTTCCTAGATTATCTACCTCCTTACTGATGTTATCCACTGCTAGACTGTGGAATGTCTATTCAGCTTATGTGCTATATTTTAAACATGTTTCTGTCCATATCCGTGTTTGCTGAATGTTGTATCCTAAAACAATCCATACAGCTTTTCACACGTCACACTACACAGTCCAAACAACTCTGCTGTGCCTGTTAATAAGCTTCTGATTTTAGTCGCTGTTTAAGTATTCTCAGCTCATACAGTGTATGCTTAGATCTAAGCTTTAAAGATGAGGTACACATATATATTGTCTTCCAAGCCTTTTGTTGTTTAGAGGAAAGATTATAGTATGCATTATATCTCAAACTGGCGATTCCCCCATTGAATAGAGGGACTGCAGTGCCATTTGTCTGCCTTTATCATCACTGCCTTAGTAATTCTCCAACATTCCCACTGATTCACCTAGGAAGAGACATCAAATTCAGGGAATACTTCACCTTTAGTGCCTCTTGGTAACTATCAGGTACTTACAATGCCACGTGACATACACTCCTAGGTGTTTTCACGCTAATTCACACCTTCTGTCATGTGACTCTGAGAACCTGCAGTAGATTTAAATGGCCTGGACTCCCTCTGGATTCAAGCCTTAAACAGATGCTGCTTAAATTCTGCCGTTTTAGTTCATTTCAGGAATACTTTGAGGGAAGCTCCCATAGTGGAGGTGTTGGTTTAGTCATTGTAATCAAAAATGAATTTATATAAATCACTTTGTATAGTCTCACTTTGAGTAGAGCTGTTTTTATTTGGAAACCCGCATCCTAATACAATAATGGAAAAACGGACAGTTTTAAAGAACTCAATTCAGCCCTGTGGAAAACTAAGTACACCCTATGAGTCAACAGTTTGTAGAATCAGTTTGTAATTCTTTTCTGCAGGGCTTTAACAGTTTGTGACATTGTTGTGGAGGAACATTGGAACAAAGTCCAAAGTTCATGTTGCAAAATTGCCTTAGTTCATTGAGGTTTGTGGGCATTTGTATATTCTCAGCACTCTTCCCACCACAGAATTTCAATCAGTTGACTTTGACTCAGCTGATGCGACACTTTGATTCTTTTCACAAGTCCACGAGTTCAAGGTCACGATCAACTCAGTAACTGCAAGATCCACAGGAACTGTGTTTGACAGTTGTTTGTGCTGATGGTGCGATTGGTTTTTGCCAAATGTGACGATAGTCAAACATCTCCACTTTGGTTTTGACTGTGCAAAGTACTTTCCAGAAGTCCTGAGGTTTGTTCAAATGCAACCCTTCCAATCACGCCACATTTAATTCCTATGGAAGCAGTAAGAGTGTGGTTAGTTTTGCATAAAACTATGCAAAGTTATGTGTAAGCATGTGTTTTTAACACGATTCCATTCTGCAGCTACAATATTTTGGATAGCAAATTTTTCTGTTATCATTATTTAAAGGTGTCAGCTTGTCTTTTTCTGGCAACTTATGCATGAAAAGGTCTCCAGATGCACCAGTGCCAAGGTTCTGAGACCATAGACCATAGACCATTCTGATAACTTTGCAGTATAATGTCTGGAATGCCTTAGAAATCAAGGATCTGTTACATAAACTGGACTTTATCAGATTCACTCATTCATTTCCCAAGGTCTCGTGAATGTAGCTATTTTTGTTCTTTGCTTGAGTACCCTCTGTCTGTCTGTCACTACCTCTTACCCCAGATTCATTATGTTGAGTTGCCTTATCACTTCAGGAAACAGGCACTGACAGAATTTATTGATGTAGCTGTGATTACTGACAAGATGAGAGTGAGGCAGAGAGTTCAGAAACACTTACCCTCTTGGCCACAGTGCCCATTTATGAGCCAGAGTAAGAGTCAACTGTTGAGTCAAGTACTACAAACACATGGATTTGTATGTAGTACTGATGGGATACAAATTACTGCAATGTTCCCAGTTAATTTTTTATTTATTTCCAAACTATGTCGCTTGTATGGAAAAATAAGGTTTTTCAGCCATCAGAAATAGATAGAATAGATATAAAACATTTTCTCTTGCATTTTGAATCTTAAATACAGGAACGCAGCGGCCTTAGAGATATGCTGGTGCTGATTATGTGCAGTAATTGAGCGGAGCCTGTATTTAACATGAAGAGAGACAAGCGGTAATATCAATGATTTAAGTGATGGCTTCAATCAAGGCTTATTTCCTTGCTTTTCTGCACACAGCATAAAGCAGCTGCGAATTTACACGGACTACTTTTCCACCAAGCAGTAAACAGAATTGGCTACTAGTATGTTTGTACATTGTATTGTAAATGTAACTACAGAGTACAACACAGATAATATTTGTCTATATGTGACTTGACTTAAAGAGTTTCCATGGAAACAGTTGAAGATGAAGTTAGAAGGCAGGATAAAAGCATTACTGAGTGGACGTAACAGACTAATGTTTTATTGATCGTCTGCTCTTAATTCTGTGGAAGGGAAACTCATCACACCGAGTAAAGAGAGGTGTGTTAGAAAAGGACCAGATTCAGTGATAAAGTTGTAAATCTAGGTTAAAAGGTAAAAACTAACAAGGCTTCCATCTTTGTCTGAGAGAAAAAATGTATTCACGTGAGTAGAAACAGCTGAATTTACAACGTAATGTCTTCTTAGCCTAGCTGCCCTTTTTCACATTTACTATGTTCCTTCCTGTTTTTGAAAATGCAGTGATAAAAGATCACCAGCAATGCGTTTATGATCTCATATGTTATCTGTCTTCCTCACCCCATTAAAAAATACCAGTGCATGCTATCATTTGCTCTCTGTAAACCGTCATTGATCCTAAATGAATTTGGGTGAAAAATGGCAAACGGACGATTCTAAGAGTTAGAGGATGCTTGATCAATAATTTAGAAGTGGCACAGTGCGGAGGCACACAAGTCTCCCACATTCATTTTTCATGCTTTCTGCTTAGCCCCACATCACCTGTGATAAAAATAAAAGATGGCCTGCTTTAGGGGTCATGGGTATTTGAATGGCTGTGTCGTATAGGAAACAATGACTGTCAAGTTTGGTGCAACCAAGCAGATTTCAAATGGACTAGAATTGCAGTGACAAGGACCATCTGTGTACTTGAATGAATATATGTGATGTTTTTGTTTTGCCTTATTTTGAACTGGAGTACACCCCCAAATGTTTGAGGTAAGCTTAGTCTACAAAACATCTTTTACTCAGAATAACCTATTTTCCAATCAGTAAAAAGCATTTAAGGATTTTCTTGCCTCAGCGTGTTGATTAAATACAAATTTCATCGGTGCAAATCTTAACTCTAGCAAAACCAGGATTAATGCTATTCAGTTTTGAACAAAGAGACAGATTTAGAAGATGCCACTGTTTTAAATATTTTATTTTCCTAGAACAAAGCCACATGTTTTTTTCAAGGGAGGAAAGGGAGGGGGTGAAATTGAGGCCTGTGAGAGCCCAAACACCGCGGCCCAATCAACAGAAGGCGTCTCCCTAATACAAAGAGAAAGGATGACCCCCTCCCAGGGCCTCTCCCACCTCCCACTTCTCCTCCATCTGTCAGTGCCATAGCTGACAGGCAAAAGGGATACACACATACACACATTCTCTCTGACCTAGTCAACTTTTGCATGAGGGATGAGATAATGTTGTCCATATCAGATCAGTGCAGGGTTAATTTATGGAGTAACGGGGTGGATGATGAATTGGATGAATTCTGCGAATTACAGTGCTGTGATGTTTCTCAGACATTTCCACATTATGAAATTTGCTTAGTTCATCCATAGGTCAGTATTTGACGTGTAGTGGTCCTGTTAAACTGGAAAAATAATTTCTATTTAAGGCTAGATTACCTTTAAGACATTTTTTCGCTATTGACACAAATATTTCTTAACCAAAATAGTTCCATAGCTAGTCAAATATCAGACATAAAAGTAATATTGGGCAGATTCCAAATACTTGCTTTCAAAGATGATTTTTACTCAAATGTGTGTTTATGCGACCCTGAATTGGATGAGTGGAAGAAAATTAATGCATAGATGGATGGTTGCTTATGTTGGTTCATTCCTAACTAAAAAGGATTTCTTCCTTTTGAAGTCATATAGAGATATGAGGCTTTGCTTTTGATGCAGTTTTAGCATCTGAGAAAATAAATGGCATGCTGCATTAGAGTATTAAATGAACAAAATTCATTAAAGACGAAAAAGGAAAGATAATCTAATTCTGTGTCTGTGCATTCATTTCTAACACGAGAGATCCAATAAGAGAGATCAATTTTCCCACATACAGCTAGCATTTATTAGGGGTTTTGTGTGGGGACGGGGTGGTGGTGAGCCTGGTCAGACAGAGAGAGAAGAGAGAGCGAGATCTCAGTGGGGGGATGGTGTGCCTGTGTCAGCCTGAGTGTAATGGGCGTGCATGCGTCTCGTTGCTTTCCTTGTTCCTTTAATGCACCCCACCCCCCTTCCCCTGCAGTGAGCAGGTTTTTTTTCAGCTCCTGTGTGCCCCCATCTCCTCTGCGCATGTTTAATCAACCAGCATGGTTGCCATAACAACCACAGCGCAAAATCTGAGAATAGACCGGGTACTTGAGAGCCGTGACCCACTTACTGTACGTCAACAAATTCAGTGGGACAATAGTGAACGAGACACATTACACATAAAACCCCTTCAGGGCTAAAAGGTTGTTCCACACCAGGCCTGAAAGCTCAGCTACTGATTTCCTCTCTTCCTTTTTCACAGAGAGATGGAAGAGTCTAAACAGGACTGCGTGACTGTAGACGTGTCTTTTGTCTAAGCCAAGTTCACTCCAGGAACTAGGGGGCAAAAGTCAAAAACACAGCAAAAGAAACAAGGTTTTTGACTTTAGGTTTATGCATTTTAACCATGCAGGTATTTCCACTTCACAGGGTGGAATGAGTTTAATTTTCCTGATTGCCAACCTTATAAGCAGCCAAAACCAAAGAATGCAGGGATTTGAAGCACAGCTCCAAAACAATAGACCATAATAAGAGCATGTCTACAGAGTCCAACAACAGTGGAGTACTTCATACTGCATATTAGTACTTCAATTTTTACTCAATAACAGTTTCCCGACACACTTTACCCTGAATAACCGAAATTTTAAGTAACATTTTAATTACATAAGCTAACACAACTCACTTGACACAATCATGTTGAGTGACAACAATATCATATTATCATTTTAAGATATTATCATTACAGTGAGCTAGTGTTTATCATCAATCTCAATGCAAGTAATTTTCAACACCTCTTTCCCTATGCCTATATCTATACCATTGTGTCATTGCTCAAAACAATAAGAGACCCCACATAAGGTTTTTAGCTGCTCCAGAAATAATTACTAGAACAATTGGTGGAACTCTCTTGACCTGGGCTGGGGCAGGCTTCAAAACAACAAGGGGCAGTAGAGGAGGACATAGGAGCTCTTAGATAAGCTGCTACTTATACATGAAGTAATATATTCATGAATGTGCTGCAAGTGAATAATATCTTCTAAATAATTTATTTCTTATCATATTTGGTAAAAATAAACAAGAAAACCCAAACAAATGTGGTTTTATGTAGTGGAAAACCATTTGTCTGACCACAGCAACTATGTTCAAAGCAGCATCTCCTTGCCTTTAGCCTAATGCAGATTTGGCATTTATCAACTGCAAATTCAAAGTGAATGAAACTCGGTGAACCTTTAAAACTACAACACAAGTTTTCCATTGTGTATTACGGTCACACGATGTTACTCACATGATTGTAGACGGACAAAAATGAGATGCTCAACATGCAACCACATGCTAATCAAACAGAAGGACAAACGCTACCTTGCAGAGTAGATTCTTGGCTCAGGAAATGCTAACAGGTGTGCCTTTCTCAGTTTTTCCATTCAGCAACAGTTAGTACATCAAGTGTAAATGACCTGCAGAATCATGTTTGGTTTATTTATCCACAGTATTACCCACCATATGGTCATTTCCAGAACTTTTAGCATATTTAGCCGTGTGTTTCTACTGGTCTAAACCTGCTTTTTCAACAGAAGGGCGCTGGACTGCTCCCTGCTGCTAATGGCCACTTTGGTACATAGAGTGCGCTCATACATTTGGCTAGCAGCTGAAGTGAACAGTGCCCACCTGGTGCATCTGACTCATAATCTGAGATTTGCAACCTCAGAAGAGGAAGACAGAAGGGCATTAGGATGCTGTGAGTGCACTCAGTGACACCTGCACCCCTTTGAGCTGGAAGTACCAATTTATCTACAGTCCGTTTGGTAGCTCGGATGATGTCTTCATCAGCAAAATGATAAAGAACTGTGCTTTAAAATACATATGTAAACGATACACATTTTATTCTATAAAATGCACATCACCAACTGTGGGGGCTCTGCTTCTACATCAGCGTTACGCAAAATGAGAAGCTTTTAAAATGTTGGTGTTTCTAGATGTCCAGTCTTACCAATTTCTGCACATTTATTGGGTAGAAGCTTGCTGTAGACAGAGGCCTGTCAAGTTATTATGTTTTCCTTAACACACTCTACACTAGACTGTATGTATTTAATTTTTTCTATGATTTATCCCACTTTTTTGCAATTAAGGTTAGATTGTGAGTTTTTGGTCAAAACTGATCAATGATTATTACAAACTATTACATATTTCTCCAGAAAAATCAAAGTGACATGGGCGAAAACATGGCCATCATCAGAGGAGTCATTGCAATTATCTTTTGTCTTCACAAACTATAGAGGGGCCGTCAAATCAATAATTTAATAAACGATACAATAATTTAGGTAACCAACATATGTAAATTGCATTGCATAATACTTGGTCTCCAGAACCTCCATCTTGGCGCATGGTGATAAACTTGACTTGAAGTACTTAACATAGTGACACTATTGATTTTCCATTCAAAAGGAAAGTCTAAGCTATAACTTTTCAAACACAATACTAACTAACAGGACCAGGGTGTATTTTCTTGTGTTATTTGTTTTTTAATGGTTAAATAATAATAGCCTATGATTTACGAAAAAGGCTGTATGTTTCGACATCGAGCCACTCAGGATCCCAGGCAGTGTCTTTTTATGCACAAATTTCTATGATTTCTGCTACACATGGTCTACAGAATAATTGTTCAGTTTTGTCATTGGAAGGTACAACATGGAAATTATTCCAACAACCAAACTGCCTGATGATATGCTGGAGAAGCTGCGCAATCTTAACTACTGTGGAAACCAGTTCAGTAGTTCTCAGTGTTGTCTAGAGCGGACTTATGATAGAAGGCGCCGGGCTAAAAACAAACATTAGCTGGTTAGCTGGTTGGTGTGTATTGGTCACTTTCCAAGAGCTTCAGCCTTTAGTTTACTGTATAAAACAACACACGGCTTATTTCCTCATATTCACGTGATGATTTTAGTTTTTTTTCAAGTTCAAGGGGAGAAATCAAATGCTTGCTTGTGTTGACACATGGGCAGTGATTCATAAAAGCACCCTAGTGTGAGAAGCAGGTTGCATATGTCAAAGCAGAGCCTCTGCTGTAACAGGTTATTAACAGTCAATTTGGTTTTAATAAGCTTTTGTTCAAGAAAAATGAGCTTGCAGAGCTTGCTTTATATGAGTACGTGCTAAATAATTACATTAATATTCTGCCCAAATTAATGGATCTGACAGATGGCTTTATTATCGAACTGTCATCCAAAAATTGCCCATAGGGACGCCACTAAAGGTTGTTTGATCAAAATCTATAGGTTTTCTAGAACTTCTCCTACTACGCTGCTTAGTCAAGCAGTTTGATTAAGCTCACTATATTCTCCCAAGCTTCTCATTTTCTTTTTCACTCTGTGCTGTAATCATTTCTGACTCTACATATGCGCCTCTTCTTGTCTCTCTTCCTCCCACATTCTTAGACACAGCAAACTATTCCTGTGCTTCTGAAATGTCATCAACAGGAGTGGGTGAAGAGGGAGTAGATAATGACTTTGCCAGCGCCATGGCAACTGTTTCAGTTCGTGTGTGTGCCTGTAAGTAGTGCTAAGTTGCAGGGAAGAGCGACAGGAGGCAACACAAACATATGCCTGACACAATAAATCTGAGAGAGAAGGAGGCAAGGGAGGTGAAATAAAAACGTGTTTTCTACATGAGAACAGCATCCTCTTTACCTTTGGTATTGTGTCATTCTTTAACAAAAAATATCTTTTTCCAATCCACTGATGAGAAAATACACTTGCTTTATACAGTTGCAACCATATACTGAATCATTCATGCAGAGAAACAAGATGCGGAGGTGTGAAGTATAAATAGCAATTCAGCTCTGCACAAAGCATACACTGCCCCTCCTAAGTGAATGAAAAAAGAACCCCTAAAAACTCCTCCTGCAACAAATGCACAGTGAATATTGCAAAGCACTGCTGCATCATACAGCACCTCGGTTTTTCCGACACAAAGGACAGAACCTGAAAGCTGCTGGTTTAAAGACTAGTAATAATGGTAGTTCAGTTTGGTTCCATGCTCTTCGTGTTTCTCTCTGTCATCACGACAAGCATGAAAGACACATCAAGCAAACAAAGGCAGTCCAGCCCTTGCTGTAGCAGTTCACACCCCTGTGACTACCCAGACAGCACATACAGACGTGCACTTTTCAGTGGAGTGCTGATACTCAGTGGACAAAAGAATTCCCACAAACAGATGCTCTTTTATTCAAAGAGGGTATGGCTTACATTTGTGCAGTTGTCTCTGCAAAGACACTACTGACACTGACAAAAGCAAAAATACATAAATGAATTCATCAGAACATGCAAAGATTTACTTTCTTACCTTTCTGGGTCTGCCCCTCATCCATGTCTTCTTCCATTTTGCTTTTTCTTCTTTTTTAAGTAGCTATCGATTAGTAAATAAATGTCCTGTGTAGGTTTAAGATCGTATTTATTTAAGGAGTAATCCACACATCAGTTCCCCTTTCTTTCTCTATACTCACTTTCTCTCTCTCTCTCTCTTTCTCTCTCTCTCTCTCTCTCTGAACACTTAGATTGGCTGTCAGGTGTGGTTTCTGTCAAGTGACTGGGCGATGCAAAGGATCACTTAGCCTTTGTGGTACTGTCCATTGCAAACCGCTGTGGCAAGTGCAGAACGCCTCCTTGGTCCCTGGTGGAGGAGGAGGAGGAGGAGAGGAGTAGCAGGGCTGGCTTGAGCTGAGGGTGGTCTCTGTGGTTTGAAGGAAAGCGCATGTGTGACAAAGAGCCATGCATTTGAAAAAGGGAGGTGTGTGGAAAATGTTGGATTAAAACACTAAAAGCAGCAACGGTGGTAGAACCTAAGCCAGAATCAAGATCTTTTCACTGTGTTGTCTAGACAGTTGTGTTCATGAGTGTTGGTGACTATTCCTTGTCTCACCCTCCCTAAACAACACCCCCTCTCAGACAGAATGGTTAAGCCCATCACCCACCAACCCCCCTTCCCATGCGAGGCTGCGGCTGCTCTATATTAGCACAACCTCCCATTAAATAAGTGAGGGGGTACATCTGATTTCGAAATGGGATTCTCCTAATCTTATTAGTCTTACAGATTAAGTTATACAATCACCAAGGCGTTGTCATTGGATTCTTGAATTCTAAATGACACTATATGTCTAGAGCTGCAGACAAACAGCTCACACACTGATGAAAACTGCTAAATAATTATGCAAATACATACCTAGATCATGGACAGGACACAAGGTAATTGGAATTGGAAATTGGTATTTTAAACTGCTGTTGAGTGAAATATGCTGTATAAATAAAACCTGACTTGACAAAGTATGGACAGATGGGTGAATGGATGGATGATCAGACAGGTGGATTAGATGAAACTTTAATGATCCCTGTGGGGAAAGGAAGCTTCTGCTGCAGCCAAGACCTGAGAGGGAATAGCGAAGGAGGCAAGTGAGGGTTGTAAGAGTGATTCAAGTAAGCACGCTAGCTTAAATAGACTGCAAAATATTAATCGGATGGAAGTTCAGCAAATTAACTTGCTAGAAATCACTTTTAGTCATCCGTTATCTTATTTGTGCCTGCTGTAATACCAGGAATGCCAAAAGCTTCACTCATAGGCCTTTCAGAAGAAAAGCAAGATAACGTTTTTATGGTAATTATGGTAATGTGATGTGTATGTGATCATTTATTAATGATTCTATATAATGCTTTATTAATGTTTCATTGCTTAATGTAACATTCATTGAATTATTCAATTAGCCTACTTTAGTTTGTTGTCTAACCAACTGGTGTGTCAAAAATTACCATACCACTGAGTACCGCTTTGTAATTCAAATTAGCATTAAATGTTTATTAGCTTTTCTGGCAGCATGGATCAACGGATGGTGATGTCTGTAGTAAGAATCCAACCTTTCAGTCCAGACTTTTAATACCTCAATAAGTGTCAGATGCATTATTTTGAAATATTGTGCAGAAATTCCAGAATGTCCAGATAGCAGATACGGATATATGGCCCAAGAATTCCTGTTATGTCTACACAGGGCTCGCAAAATTGCTTGCTTGCCTGCTTATATTATCAGATGAATGCTCAGTAGCATATTGTTTAAAGCTCTGCTGTGCATATGTAGATTCTAAACATCTTGCTTTATCATGAGATCAAGAGACAATTTCAACCACTTTCTCCCTTTTCCATCTCCTTAGGGGCTGCTCCCTTTTTTTTATTTTGTGCACACGATATAGTCTTAAATAGTCATTTGTATCTGGTGAATATCCATTCATCCATTTTCTTCTGCTTATCCAATTCAGGGCCATAGGGAGGGGTTGGAGCCCATCCCAGATGTCACAGGGAAAGAGGCAGGGTGCACCGTGGATAGGTTGCCAGACTATTGGGGCTAACACAAAGGGAAAGAGAACCATTAACACCTACAGTTTATTTAGAATCACCAGTTAACCTTCATGCATTTCTTTGGGAGGAAGCTGGATTACTTGGAGAAAACCCACAGAGGCACAGCGAGAACATGGAAGTCCACATAGAGAGGCCCCGGTGGATTTGAATATTGGACATTGTCCTTATTAAGGAGTTTAGAATCTCTAATTAAGTAAATAGCTTTTACAGAGGTTTAAGCACTAGATATAATATGTACATTCTCAGTATGTGTCCAACACAGTCAAAGACAAACATGTCATTGTGCATTCTCACTAGTTTCTTCCCACACTAACTAATCCTAAATTTAAGCACCACTATTATCTGCTTAGCTCAACAAGGGGAAGTTGCTGAAATGTGTTTGCTTTTCTGAATCAGGTCATTGCGTATATACTCTGAGCACGGTTTTTCAACCACTCAACATTTTTTTAATCCAGCTCTTAACTTTGTATAATGCCTGCTTATAAATATTGGTTCTTCATGTTATTTGAAGAGCTTTAAAGTGATTTGCATTCCAGTTTAATGAAAAATATTTGAACATTTAAGAGATATTGTTTGCACTTTGCATAGAAAGTATGCATATGTTGAACTTGAGTTTTGTCTCCTGGTTTTGTCAAGTCAGGAACTTCAGTGACTAATACATGGTTAAACTGAAAGTCCATAAAAACATTTGAATAGCATTTGAGCCATACAAATACAATTAATACTGTAAGAACAAAAATATACTAAATTTTTTTTAATTAATTTTTTTAACACATTGGTGTCCATTCCAGCATACAAACACACAAAATGCCCCACCCTTGGCCTGGATAACATAGCCACACACTAACCTACTGTGGCTAAGGGTGGGAGATTTGCTGTGGGGGAGGGCTTTTTTCTGGGGAAATCCGTAGCTTATAAATCTCCACTGGTTAGTGGAGCCCCCCTGAGGCGCTGACCTCCCTCCTCCCGCTGCATCCCGTCGGCACAAGAGATTCCTTCACACTGGGTGCCATAACGCTGATAGGAAAAATCAGCAGATGGTGAAACACTTTCTTAGGGCATTTTAAGGAGAAATGCTTTGTAAGATTATTTATCTGACATCTTTGATTCCAGTCACAGATGCAATGCATTTTGTATTTGAATTCAAAAGTATGTTATCCTAATTTTGTTTTCTTACATATTTTACACATGCAGAAAAGTCTTTAAATCCCCTGCATGCACTTATGACCAACAGAAGGAGGAAAAGAATCACACTCTAAGCTTATTAATGCATCCTGGTTGTTCTCCAGAATGGGCTTGCTAGTTGCCATAGCAACCAGGCCTTAGATATTGTTGAGTAGGAGAAGCTGGATGTAGAAGTCGATGTAGAATTCACATATTACCCTGTAACCCTGGCTGGTGTTTTTTCTTTTAAATGTAAAGTAGCCTATCTAACTTTAAAAAGGAAAATACCTGTAGTTAAAGTACGATTATTATTTGGCATTTATATTATATCACCAGTCGTATCTAGTACTTTAGATCTTTTAATATAAACAAATGCCTCTGAATGTGAGGCTCTGACTGAAAATCTAAATTTCAGTGGTTGTCTGCCAGTGTCTGCAGAAATCAACAGGCGACAGTGCTCTCCATCTTAAGTGCTGATGTGTGTTCACGCCTAGTCAAGCTGAGGAAAATCAAAAGACACTGAAAAATTAAGGAGGTCATTCTTTCAGCTCTACTGAGTGAGGAAGGGATGGAGGCTTTACCAACCATTAACAGTTACAGAAAGAGGTTGAACAATTGCAGACTATGATACGCACTATGATAGATGTGGAGTTCGCTTAAATGTCATATTTTCACTCATCCATCCAAACATTTATTTTCTTCCAAGCAGTGGGAACAGGAGTAGAGTTGTGCAGACCTTCCACTCCCTGGCTCTGCAAGCTCTTCCAAAGCATCCCTGAGGTATTCCAAGCAAACAAAGACAACATAATGTTGATCCCCAGACTACCTTAATTGGCTCCTGACAATTTCTGCCATTTGCATCTGCAGTCTCATTCATATGTTCACTACCCACAGGTTAAATCCTCACCTTTGCCTTTTGGCTCAGCTCTCTGTTTTTGCCACAACACACTGGTATATTTATTTTATCACCGTAGACTGCGTTCTTCCCACACTTTTGAATACAACTCCAAGATGCTTGATCTCCTCCTAATGAGACAACAACTCATCTCCCAAACCCTGGCTGAACCTACAGATTGTGTCCATAAACGTTATGGACAGAATCAGTGGTACAGTCCACATTAACTGGCAGAGTCAAACACTTGCAGGGATCTGGTGGCCCATAGCAGCAATGCACCTCTCAAAGGGCATCCCAAGGGATACAGTATATGCCTTTTCTGTGTTTTCAAAGTACGTTTGCTTAAGAACCAGTGAAAGGGCTGAATGGATGGTCTGGTGTTTTGCAACCATTAGATAAAAGCCTCCTTTATCTTTCTCAAATCTGAGCTTTGACTGATGCTTGTTTTATGCTTTGAGTGGGTGTAGCTCAAAGGTAGTCCGCAGACACTCATGGACTATGTCTATAGTTTTCATGCTGTAATTTTTTATCTTTAAAGTTTGTTTCAGGCTTCTCCCATTTCCAGTGAACTTCGCTCTTGCTAGATTTCATGTTCCAGTAGTATCTGCTCTGCAGTGATAACAAGCTCATCGAATTCTGTAAATATTAAGAAATGGCGCTCCAGTGCTTCCTTTAATACCTCCTTTAACATAGGACACTGGATCATCCTTTATGAAAGTAGAAAATGACATGATCCATAATCATACACCATCATCAAGCTGAAGTGGCATAGATGATTTAAATGTTAGCTTCAGTGCCCCCCGCCCATGCACATTTAGTAGTTCATTTTTGGGACATTGTAGTCTAAACACAGCAAACATTCATTATCACATCTTTTGTGGAGGCGCAGTCAGATTTTCTGAGCTCAAAGGTTCTCTGTTCCTTATGAAGTCCCCATTTAGATCAGCTCAGCAGCAGAAAGTTACAGAACTCATCCACCAGAACGCTCCTAAACAGTTTAATAGATTATTTTGTTTCTTTGTTTTGAACTGTTACTGCACTTGACCCATGCTGCTCAGCAGTCTGATTAAAATCACATGTATTGTTACAGCAAAAAGAAATCTAATGGTCATCTGCAGCTAATGGTCTGTTGAGGCTATGGAGATCCTATCAGTACACCATTGTCCTATCTCTATTAAAAGCCTAGGCTCTTGGACAACATGAGAAGCTAGGCAGTCAGCCAGAAACACTTATCATCCTGTCATCTATTTTTCACTAGCTTTACAGCTCAGCTGTACTTCACAGTGAGCATCTCTGAGAGCTTGGCGATTTGGGACCATCAAAGCGATCTTAATCTGTGTGAATCTGAATAGATTTGGCACCAGAAAAAATAAAATTTGTGATAAAAAATAAACACAAAAAACTGTGTTTTGC